AATCTCCTTAAGTTGTCGCTGAGAGATCAGTTTGTAGACGATTCGGAAAGTCCACATAAAGATACAAGTGAAGCAAGCACACCCCTCTACTATGCAGGAAACAATGGCCAAAGCTCTCGAATTTGAATCCTACGTTAAGTCCAGCACAGAGGTACCAAGGTTGGTACAGTCGTCAGGATTCAAGGCCAGAAAAGGGCAGCTTTCAGAGAAGTTTGAGGGACTTTGCTAGCACTGTAACAAACCTGGGCACAAGAGAGCCCAATACTGGCAACTTCAACACATGGAAGATGCCACAGTAGAAAAGGCTGCTATCCAGAAAGGTTGTTGGAACTGTGGAAAGCAAGGACATATGAGGAGCCAGTGTAAGAAGAATATTACCAACAAGTCAGCCTCAAGGAGACCAGTAGTGGTTGGTGTTGAGGAACACTCATCAACCCCTATCGTGAAAGTCCCAACAGCTAGGTGTAAAATGCTAAGCACACATGGTGTTTATGTGACAGGAAAGCAGGATGGCCAAAGGTGCAACTTTGTCATAGATTCTGCGTCACAGCAAACCCTTGTGAGTATCAAGGTGTTAGATAATGAAGGAGTACCAGAAGCCATACAGAAGCTTTGTGGTGTGACAGGACATTCTGCAAGGTTGTGGGGAGCAGTGTGGGTAACTATTGAGCTCATGGGCATAAAGGACAGACACAAAGTATACTTGGCTGACATTGAAGATGAATGCATATTAGAATTGGACTACTTACTACCGAAGAAGTTTGTAATTAATTTTGATAAAATGACGTTTGGGAACAACAAAGGCCAAGTTCCAGTAACTGTTAAAAGAGAGGTTGAACTAATTAGGTGTTCATCAACTCCTTCAGTCACTTTGACTTCAGCTTGATGTGGTGAAATGGAACCAGGTATATATATTAAATCAGAGCATGAAGCCACTGGATACACTCCAGCAAGGTAGATGTTTGGTTGGGAACTTTGGTTGCCAGTGGGTCTGTTAACAGGACGCTCACCTTATGAAGAGTTCCCTGAAAATGTGTCAGAGTTTGTGAAAGTGTTATTGGAAAGGATGGATGATATTCACCATCAAGTGCATTCAAACTGCTGATTCGATGAAGTTATGTTATGATAAGAAATCTACTGAAGTCAGCTTTGTACCAGGAGACCAGGTTGTATAATCCCAGAAAGACCAGAGGGAAGTCCCCTAAGTTGACTTCTCCTTGGGAAGGCCCATATGACATAGTGGATCGTCTCTCAGACTTGACTTTCCAGATAAAATGTGGTCAGCGAAGTAAGCCAAAGGTGGTGCATGCCAACTGGCTTTGGCATTATCACGGTCCAGGACATTTCAGTTGGGACGAAGTGAACAAATGACGCTGCTGAAGACGTGTCACCTGAAAAAGCCACTGTCGAAGAAGAAACTCTACTCAGTTTTGAGAAGGGATACAGTGGAGCCCTTGATGAAGTTACTACCACTGATGTGACTGTTACCCATGATAGGACATTTCCTGATGAAGCAGATGAACCCCACATGACGTAGAAGCCAACGAGACGGAGACCAGTACGGAAGAAGATACGTCCCGTAAAATTAAGAGACTTTGTTGAATTTTGATTTCGTGTTTGTAAATTCTGTACATTTAATTAAGTTATTGTTAATTGTTTATTGGTTTAATGCAAGTGGCTGTTGTTCGAGACGAACAATACTAAGGAAGAGGCAGTGTTACGACAGCGGAAGACACGTGACCCTAGTAACACGTCATTATCTTCTAGAATGTTCACGTCCCTTCCTGAAGTCGCGAGGCTACTAGATATGCGGTAGTATTGTGTGTGTATATATATATATATAAGCCTCCAAGAATTGACGACAAC